TCCCTGTTCTCACTTATGGTTCCCAAACGTGGACATTTATAAAAACAAACATGGACGAAATCATAAAGACCCAACGAGCAATAGAAAGACAAATGTTGCACATAAGACTAATGGATAACAAGAGAAACGGGTGGATAAAAGATAAAACAAAAGTGAGGGATGTTCGACAAGAAGTTGCAAAATTGAAATGGAGATTTGCCGGACACAAAACAAGGCAAAAAGAAGACCGATGGAACAAAATTCTTATAAGTTGGAGACCGTGAGAATATAAACGAAGCGACAGACAGAGAAGAATGCAAAAGGATTGGGGAGGCCTATGTCCAAAGATGGACCGAAGAAGGCTAACTAAATAGATAGATAGTGTAATTTGTGTGACTATTCGACTTTTTATGCTTAATGTTTATGCTCTGTATTATAGAACAAAATTAATTTTGCGTAATTACACAAGTTATGATCTCTATTGGAAGGATAATGACTGTTTCATGTGATACAAACACGAAGGGGGAAATAAAAACAAATTGTTTAACATAAACATTTGGTACTTAGGACAAGGAACTTTTATCTGTCATAAGTCAGAGTGAAAAGTCGTGTTAAAAGAAATAGCTTCAATAATAAAAGTTTCATAAATGATACCTGCATCTCAACTTTTTGCTCCACTATTTCAGCGTTTTTCAGCATTATTTGATTATTCAGAATAACTTTCTAAGAAGGGAAGTGAATGTGAAATTAAAAAAGATGCGCAAAAGATAAACTAACAATAATAACCAGGGACAAATTTTTAAATATTTATAATCAGATACTATTGCTTCAAAACATATACAAAACAAAGAGAACCGAGTATGGTATTTGGGATATGCATACATAATAGAAAATAAATTTGTTTTGATGTAGCATTATATAAAAAAATATATTATTTACTTACATTTGCAATGCATGCTTCATTTTTGTAAAAACACAACTGGATACAGAAAGTTATCATGTTATGGTTTTCCGGGGCGAGTATTATATGAGTCAGATATCCGGTGAAGACAGATATGATCACTACTGATTCTAACTTTGGTGGAAATACAGGTCGTATTTCATAAAATTTGTTTATATACACTCATAGATAAAAATATTGTTTAAGCGAAGAAAACCAAAGTAGTGTATATAATATTTTTAAAAGTTTAAAAAAGTTAATAGCTATGAGAATAAAAAATCATAAAGATAACCCAAAAATTACGTTGGAACCAAGTAGTTCAAATTGATAGGCAACAGTCAGAAAAAATGATTATCTGTAGAGGAGTTAGATAGTGATGCATTTTATCGCCACTGAAGAAATTTCCAATACAAGTATAATATCAATCGATATATTTGATATATCGATTATTAATATTATTATTATATATATATATATATATATATATATATATATATATATATATATATATATATATTATAATAATATGATTTTAACAATAGTGATATCAATATAATATCAAGTCGATGGGATAGCCAAGCGGGCTGGGCGGCTGGCTTCTCCTTCGCTTCAATGCGAGAGATGTCAGTTCAATCCCCAGCTCGGTCTACAGAAAACTAACCCAGCAGTTTAAAATTCTAAATGAATCTGCAGCTTAGTCTAGAATATGCTGGTATCTGATCGGCCTATGATGAAGCAGTACGGCAAGAGTAAGGACTTGCGGCTCGGTGATACTTCTCCATAGATCCCTACCGGAAGGGCGTGTGCCGCCTAAATACCGTGTGTGTATATATGTATATATATATATATATATATATATATATATATATATATATATATATATATATTATATAAATTCGAGGATAGTAACGGGCTACTCGTAAACAACAAACAATTGAAGGTAACCGGGAACGACCCAATACTAAGGAAGCAATAAAAAACGAGTGTTTCAAAGTGAGTGTCTTTTATTAAAAGTCAAGCTTTTGCCACATAATTTTGGGCTTCATCAGAACTTGCTGTAATGGAAAAACATTCTTTACAATCATCATAATTTAAAGATGTTATTTTTAATATTACCTTAACGTTAAGCTTGATATAACTGATTGTTTAAGTAGATTAGTTGTTGTTGTGGAGAACCATTTCCTCAGGTTTTATAACCATATTCTTCTTATCCCAATTCCTAGCATTCCGAATACTTTACATTTAAGGATTATTTTCAGTAATCTGTATTTAGTGCCGTTTCTCATTATGTGTCCGAGATATCTCCCTTTAATCGTATAATCACTTCTCTTTCTTTTCCTATTCTTCACAATTCCACAATTCTCCAGTCACCGTTTACATCATCTTGGTCTATTTTTCCCCATTTTGCCATGTTTAATTTTACTGAAGCGACTCCCGTCCTCATCCTATTCATAGTTTTCCACGTTTTAAAGTCTAGGGATTTGCCGGTCCATTGAACCTGGGGAAGGGGAAAATACTCAGGCGGTTCATCCTGCACTGTTCCAAGGAAGCTTTTTCTGGGTTTTAGTCACTTTCGTGGTGTTCGAGCTTTGTATAGGGCGTGCCGCGCATCCTGCATGTCTTACTCAGCGCAGTATCAACTTGTTTGGTATAAACAGATCTATCCCAAACGGAGCACGCATATTCGGCAGTTGAGAAACTCAGTGTCTATGCCGTTGTTCTTAAAACGCCAAGACGTGCACCCCATTTACTTCCCTTTAGTTTTCTGAGTATAATGTTCCCAGTTGTTACTTTTCCTCTCGTTTTTATGCAATGTTGTCTGTAGGTGAGGGACTGGGGTCGTATTTTTGAATGTGTTCGAATTTATTCGCATGCGATTAGTTCGAACGAAAAAAAATCGTGCACGAACGTAAAAGCGTATTTTCGAACGCAATTCGAAAGTTTAATTCGCATACGAGAATCCGTTAACCCAAATTCACCGGCAACGCCTCAAATTCGCACGAAATTAAGAAAGGAAGAGGTAGAGGTGACAGACGACATTTATTTGACTGACAAGTTTATTTTACTTGTTGCAGCAGACTTGAAGTTTTTTAGTTTTTTGTGATTTGCTCAATTTTCTACACAGTTACACTTAAACATCACAAATTATAACTATTAATAATGTAAAACAACTACAAATTTAAAACATTTAAAGTGTTTTGACCCATATATTTTGGTGGCTACTAGCATGTACAACCGTAAGTATTAACCACATTTTGCTCTAACCTTTGTCAACATTTTAATTTAACGTTCTTTTTAATTAAAGTGGTTATATACTTTTAGGTTTGCACTGATGATGGGGCATTTTTTATATACCTTTTATAAAGGATTTTAAACAATTTTTTCTACACAGTGTTAACGTGTTTTGGCTTGTGTTTTCGTACTTATCTGTTTTCTCTGTTTCCAATATGGACAAAGAAAATAAAAATTCTATGTTCGGAGGATTTGTATCTTCCGAACAAAAAAAAAGAACTGATAGATTTTATGGAAGAAAATAGATTAGAAAACCTCCAAAAAATTATTGTAGGTAAACAATTTTACTACTCTCTATGTAAAATACTTGGCCCGGATGCTAATTCTTAAGGAACAAAGCGGAGGGTGCTTTGGGGAACATTTTCACAGTATACCTATGTCGAATTAAAAATATTTGTTATACTTACCTTTCTCGGTATGCTCAATGCAGATGCCCTAGATGGAGGGACCAAGTGGGGCTCCAAAAGTTCTATTAGTTCCTCTGCCAGAGGCTTTGTTAAACGGTATAATTTTACAAATTGTTTGTCTGATAAGGCTTCAAGAGGGTTTAAAAATGCATTGTATACTCTATTCTCCACATTCGCTAACATTTCTGCATCTTCTAAGGCATTTAAAACATTTCTTTCAATTAAAAAATTTAGGCCGGCCATCTCACTTATGTACACAATTAAAAACCAAACTAAATGCAAAAGTCAGAAATGTCAAACTCCGTGTGTTTACCGCTATTCGAATGGTGAATACCCACTCGAACAGTCGTGTACGAAAATCGTCGTATACGATGCGTTCGAAATCAACTCGAAAATACGAATCATCGATTTTCGTTCGAAATTCATCATCTTTCGCATGCGACTTCCGTTCGAACGGTTTCGAAAATACGGGCCCTGGTCCAGAGTTACTCCAAGATATATAGTTTGGTTTGTGTGTTCCAAAGTACTACTATTCCACGCAATTTGGAGTTTCCGCTTGGTCTCTTTTACGCGAAGGTGGAAAGCGCAGACTTGGCTTTTAGAGGGATTGGGTCTCAGGGAATTCTGCAGGTAGTACGCTGTCATTGTTTTTAAGGCAGTTTCGAGTTTCTCCTCCACTTCTTCAAAACTACTTCATTAAGCACGAACTACTTCATTAAGTACTTCAAAATTGCAAGATCGTCAGCATAGAGGAAGTGCTTGGTTTCGCTCGTCGTAGATTGGTTGTTTGTATATATATTGAAGAGCATTGGTGCTAAAACACTTCCCTGTGGGAGGCCGTTGTTTTTTAACTCTCCACCTACTTATTTTACCCTCCAGTATAACTAAAAAACGTCTGTTTTGCAGTAAGGAATATACGACCTTACCCAGGATCCCCAGAGGATTGTCGAGCCAAACATGATGATGTTGACAGACTTTCATATAGACACAGATTTGACATCACCCCAAAGTTTTAGCGTTTTTACTATTTAAATGGAAATAAATAAAATTAAAGGTTAAAGTACGTTGAGAACGATTTCCGAAGTGGAAATTGAAACGTCAATAAACGTACTTTAACCTTTAATTGTAGCTTATTCCCATTTAAATAGTAATTACGTTAAAGTACCACAAGAAAATAGCTTCAGAACAATATTAAAAAAGGTTTTAGCGTTTTCGATATAAATTTAATTTGTTTTTTTTTTACCTTTTTTAGGTTTAATAGATACTAAGATAAATTGCTTAGAAAGTTTTCAGACTTAGACAAACAAGTCTATGCCACTAGCAGATTTCGTTGTTTCGACATACCTATATAAGGGAACATAATATAACAAATATGAATTTATAGCAAATTCAACTAAATTTTATTTAACATTATAATTTTCTAATCTCTTTTTCGACAAAGTAAATACATCTTGATCTGTCCATACATCAGCACTGCCATTTTCGTATTTAACATAAGCCAACGTAATAAATTACTTGGTCCCGTCTTAACTTCAACAACTTGTAACGCACTTTAGTCTTTATTTATTACAAATTACACTTTGACCGGTTTATGAACACCTTCTTCTTCTTCTTCTTGTTTACGAGTTTCAGTTTTTTCAGAACCACTTTGCCAACCCGAATCCATCGTACCATCACTGTGACAACCTTGCACTTGAGCCTCATCTTCTGTTGTAGCGTCACCGTAGAGTAATCCAGCAGGATTTCCACCTAAATTCTGTATTAGGGCAGATATATTGGAACCTAAATTTCTTCTTGCTTGTTGGTTTAGATTTAAGGTTTTTGGTGGTACATTTTTACCTCCAGAGTTATTGTAACCAAAATTGACTTTATTCTGGTTATAATAGTTTTGATCATAATTTAAAGTTGATATAGTGTTGGTCAAATTGCTCGAGTTTTGGTGATAATTTTCCTGTTCTGGAATAACTTCATATTGAGCATCTGGAGCGAGATAGTGATCCAAGGAAGAACCAGAAAAGGCTCTATGTTTGGGTGTTTGATCACATGATTTATCTTGGAAATAACTACAACATTCATCAGGGGAAATTGTGTCATCCGTTGTTTCAGTCAATGGAGTTTGTACACTACTACATAAACTATTTTGGGAAATATCTTTAGGTAAGAGTTGTAAACATGAATCAGCACTAAATTCCATATCATTAGAATCTGGCAAAGGGAACGGCATTCGACTTCTGGTGGACATTTGTCGATTTCCCATTCTATGTGCCAAATAATCTTCATCTTCCGTTACAGTAGAGGACGAAATGTTTTCTTGAAACGTTTGTAATAGCTGAGTGGTATTCACGTCTTTGGGATCTGGCTTTTGTAAAGAAATTAACCTAGGCTTTTGGGTTTCCAAAGCTTCATCATACAAAGAAGAATCTTGTCCATCGTTTCTAACAGAAATATTACAGCAACTGCTTACGTCAGCAAAATACACCTCTGACTCGCTCGGTTCAGGTTTTTGGGGACTAGTTTCTTGCTTTTGAAAAGCTGCATTTTCTACTCCTTGTAATCTTGGAAGAAATCTACATTTCGGATTATCATTAGCTTTGGATTCTGCTAAAGCTGGTTCCCGATAACTATGCTCAGCTTCCTTCTTATCCTCTTCTTGATTGGTCTGGTTAAATACAGACTGAACATTGGTTCGTGTACTAGGTTGAATACTTGACTTCACCGAAGCTATATCAGTTCTTTTCTTTATTTTTCTAACGGGTAAAGTATGTGAAACTCTTTCTACGCAACTAGATGTATCAGTACTTTCATTGTTATCATTTCCGTGATGAATTTCGGGTTCCGTGGTATTTTCATAGTTATCTTTGTTATTAAAATGAGGTCTAGTCCGGCGGGAGGTTCTACTGAACTGACTGTTTTCGTTCATCTGGCAATGAGATTCGTGTCCATGGGAATGGTGATGAATGTGATGGTATCTAAAACAAACAAAATACGTCAAGTTTTGGTTCTGTAAAAGACTTATAGCAAAGCAAGCATACATTAAATCACTCTGTTTAGTTATACACATCACGACATTGTTTTATTAACCATACAACACAATGGCAATCGCTGTGACATGTTACACGTTTCCACCTCTATACTTATTTCACAGAAGGTACAAATTGTCGTAATTGTCACATTAACATTAAAATTTTTAGACGAAGTTCATGAAGGTCATGAGACTGAATAGCTCATGAATGTAAAGTCCTGACCGGACTGTGACATGGGACAGACGGCACAAGGTCTAATGGCATAGATAGATAGAGGTTAAGCACTTTAGATTACGTTATTATGACACTGTATTACTGAAAGTAATAATAATAAAGATGTACAAGAGACCGTATTAAACATTATTACATGGCGCAGTCAGTAGGATCCTCACATTTAGATATAGTGGTATAATAATATACAATTTGGATTTGGACTAGAAGTCACACACACTCATTTAATTTAATAAAAAAGTTAATTTGCTCACCACCAGTTCTTGCAAATTGTTATGTAAATATTCCAATAATAATTTAAACAGATTCAAGTCAAAATGGTGTTGGAAGTGTATTATTACACAATCTTAAACCTGTATCTTTTACTACTAAATTTCATAATTATATTTATGGTAGAGAAGTTAAGGTTTTCACAGATCATAAGCCATTGATTTCGATAATGAAGAAAGGCATAGCAGAAATAGACTCTCCTAGACTACAACGTATAAAGGGGAAATTATTAAAATATGACTTAACTGTAGAATATAAGCCAGACAAGGAAATGCTGATAGCTGATTTATTGTCTCTAAATTTTTTGAAAGAAAAGGTAGAGGATGATGCTTTTGTAACGGAAATGGTGCATATATTAAATATAACAGAAGAAAAGAGAGAGAGGAATTTATAGCTGAGACTAAACAGGATAAGAAGATTCAAATAATTAGAGATTTTTGTGAAAAAGAGTGGCCGTCATGTGCACCTAGAGTACCTTATATAGTAAAAGATTATTTTAATATTAAACATGGTATTTACTCATTAAATGATTTGATGTTTTATACGGACAGAGTCATAGTTTCGTATTCTTTGTGGTATAGGGCGTTAAGTTGCTTCATGAAATACACTTTGGAGTTACAAAAACACAGCAAAGAGCGAGACAGGTATTGTTCTGGCCAAATATGAATAAGGACATAGTGGATTTGGTTCGAAATTGTGTTGATTGTGAGAAATATCAGAGAAATAATGTTAAAGAGTCGTTAATACTAAGAGAAATTGCAGAACTGCCATTTCAATTGCTAGCGGCTGAATATTTGTGAATTTGGAGGAGCAACTTATTTAATTTGAATATGCATAGTATTTTTTATGTTTAAGTTTGGAAGAATTTTATTATTTTTTTTTTTTATTTAAAAGTACAAACGATTCTTATTCTGCTTTTTTTTTTCTTTCTTGTCTCATTGGTATAAGCTTTGTCCATAAAATTTGTACAATTTTCAATGACAATAAAGCATATTACTTATTTACTTACTTATTTATTATTTGTATTGTTATTAAGGCTAAAAATAACCAAAAAAATTAGTTTTAGAGCATTATAATAAATATACTCTAGAGATGGGATTGCAATAAATCTTAATTCCTATGGTCAACAAAACAATATCATTATCTGTATAGAACCATCAAAAATATTGCAGTTAAGATTGGCTGTAAAATAAAATTTTCTTCCGTTGTTTCTTTCCCACATAACTCAAAATAAATAAAACTGTTGAATATATAATCCATTTATTTTATATATGTAGGGGAGAGTGGCCCAAAATGATCTCCGTAACAAAAAAAAACTAATATGCTTAATAACAGGTCAAAAAATTATATTCAGACTCATCAACTGTTCTGCTCCCAGTATGGTATATGTAACCTTTCAGAGTTAATGTGTGAACTATGAGTCCACTTGTCGAATTATTTGTCCTATTATGACGATTAATTATGATTCCGGTCGTGACGTGCCCGCTACCTTTAATCGGGGAGATACTCTATTCAGTACAGTTATGAGAATTGTCTGGTGCATTTAGTTCTGCTGCTATTCGCTCCGTGCGTGACTGACGCGACACCTACCGTCTTCATCTGACAATTTTGGAGTCCCAATTTTTAGGTTAAACATATGACATATGTTTGAGATTGTTGCATATATTGCGACATATTGCGACAATACATGCGAAATTGACAATTATTAATAAATTAGTTTTTTAACTATAAACTATAAACTTTTCAGTTTATATTCAAAATAAATGTAGTATTAAAAACTTAGATTCTCAAAATTCATCATAATCTATCTTTTTAACTCCAAACGGAAAAGAAAGGGAAAAATCTAGTACTGGCAAATCAAGTTTTTCACGCAAAAGAGCATATAATTAAAAACAATAATGGTAAAAGTTATGATATAAAGCTAAAGTCATCTGCAGTTAGCTTGAAGCCTTATCAAATATCATTCAAGGTAAATTATTTAAATTTTTCCTATTTCAATTGCATAAAAATGAAATTATGTGATATTTACTTTTTCATATTAATAGCACGAATTCATCTTTTTCTTTTCTCTAATTTATATGTAATCTTTGGGAACCTATAAAAACAACACTCACTGTTTTTGCTATTATTAGCACTTAAAGCACTAACATTAGGCACATTATTAGCAATTAAATACGCAACATGTATTTGCATACATTTTTGATAAAATTTATGCGTAAAAATATTTTGTATAAAATATTCCAATTTTGTCATATTTCGCCGCTACGCACGCTGGCATCGTTTCAATGTACCCCTACCATGGTCACGCAAGGAGCGAATATTGAATTACGGAATGTGAGTCCGCATGTTAAAAAAGTTCACAAATCTTCAGGTAAGATTGAATTTTAAAATATTTTCTTTCTGGGGTAAATAAAAATATTTATGTAATATATAAATAATATTGGAGTGATCTACTGATTATGTTTTCTGTATATTTGATTGATACAAACTTATTTTTTGCAGATTTTTTATTTTGATTTTATTTTAATATGAGTATTGAAAAGCAACAAGCATATCTTGAAAAGTCTAACGATGACGATGCTAGTTTAGAAGGAGATTTTGAAGAGATACAGGACCACGACACGGACATGGAAGAAGAAATTGAGGAGCCAATCTCAGAAGTCTTAAATGTTCCACAAAGAGTGCCGCATTTCATTGGTAAGGATGGAACAACTAATGTATAAGGAATTCTTATGAGATCAAATCTGGTTTGTTTCTACTAATTTGTGCTTTTTCTTTCTTATTTCTTTACATTCGTTCTTATTTCTTGTCGTAGACAAGACAAATCGTTCACCAAATAATGAATTAAATTGGTTAAGAAATGTTTTAAATTATAGAATAGGAGCATGTTCGTAAATAACGTGTTGAGTATAAAAAGCACTTCTTAATACTATTAGGACTTTTAAAGATAATATATTTACCTTCCTGGAGATTGAATAGGTCTTCTAGCTGGAGAATTTGGATTCGAATACGGAGGTGGAGGTCCCCAAACATATACCCCTCCAGGCGGCGGCCGATTGTCTAAAATACTATACGATCCTGTCGAACCCGCTATTTGATCTTGCATATTAGTGTCTCCTCCTGATCTGTTACTGAATCCATATTGACTGTCCGCACTGCTAGCACCTCCTTGGTATGCTATCGAATTGTCTCTAAAAAAGTAAAATTAAAGGTAATACTAAAGTAAACAGCTCTTTTTTGTAAAAAATTGGTAAATGAATGTTTATGTTATGTTGTACATAAAATAGTAATTAAATCGTTTGCCGCATTTGTTAATCTCCATATTTTTACACCATTACCTTATACACATCGCAAATTTAACAGCAATGAGTAAATTTTCATCATCATCATTGGTGCTACAGCCCTATAAAAGAGCCTCGAAAGAGTTTATTACGCCAGTCTTGTTGCCAGTTTGCTGCGCCTATTTTTCTACCATCTTCATCTACATTATACCGCCATCTGAGTTTTGGCCTACCCCTACTTCTATTTCCCACAAGTTGTGACATAAGGATTCTTCTAGGAGGGTTGTTCTGCTGTGATCTTGCCAGATGTCCTGCCCATCTTAGCCTCCCTATTTTTATAAGGGATACTACGTCTTTACCACCAAATATATATTTATATCTGTGATATATCTCGTAGTTGTACCTCTTTCTCCAAACACCATTTTCACAGATGCCACCGAATAGTCTTCTCAGGATCCTTCGTTTAAATATAAACAAGAGGTTTTCATCTGCTTTGGAGATCGTCCATGTCTCAGATCCATATATCAACACTGGTTGTATAAGGGTTTTGTATATGGTTATTTTTGTTTTTTTGGCTAAGTTTCTGCTTCTCATATGTCTACTCAATCCAAAATAGCATTTGTTTGCTTGTTCGCTTGATTTCTTCCGTCATGACGTTCTCCTTGGTGATCAGGGAGCCTAAGTGTGTGAATTTGTCCACCACGTCAAAGGTAGAGTTATCAACAGTGAATTGGTGGCCAATATTTTTGTCTCTATTGTTGGGTGTTGATGCCATTATCTTGGTTTTCTCCTCATTACTTGGAGGTCCATATTTTTTGAGGCATTTCCTCTGAATATGCACTCAGGCGACCATATACAATACTCGAAAGGAGGGTTATCCCCCTATAGTTTCTACATTCAAATTGATCAACCTTTTTGTATAGCGGGCAAACGATCCCAATACACCACTCTTCCGGGATTTGTTCCTCATTCCAAGCTCTCAGTATGATTTTATATATATGGTTAGTCAGAGTAGCAACTCCACATTTAATAAGTTCCGTGGGTATACCATCACTTCCTGGAGATTTATTATTTTTTAAGTGGTTTATTGCATCCCGCACTTCTTGAATTGATGGAGTCCAATGGTGTATTGTTGCTTGCTCCTGGGGGTGGTTGATTTGGATCTTCTACTTCGATAGTAAGTAGTTCTTTATAGTGTTCCACCCACCGTTTCAATACTTCTTCATTTGTATTGAGTATATGCCCCTCCCCCTTAGCCTTACATAGTCCGATCCTCGGTTTAAATTCATTTGTCGCATTATGAATTGTCTTGTTTGATTTTCCTTTTTTAATGCCTCAAGTTCTTTCAATATCCTATTTTCATAGTTCGCTTTTTTCTCCGATAGATGTACTTCTCTTCTCTTCTGAGATCTTTATATTTTTGTTCTTTTCCTCGGGTTCTTCTTTGCTGCATCAGTTTATATGCATTGTTCTTTCTTCTTCTAATGTCCTCGCACTCAGCATCGAACCACTCATTGCGTGATGGTGCTCTTTGCGGCCCTAGAATGTTATTTGCTGCATCTTTAATATATTTTTTACACATTTCCCATTGTTCACTAATTGTTAGATTCTCTTTAGTTATGTATTAAGTTTCGATATATTTTGGAAACCATTCTACCGTTTGCGGATTTTTGAGGAGTTCAATATTAAGGCGCCTTGTTTTGGTACTTCTCTCCTTCTTCGCATTTGAGATTCTAGCCTGAATTCTTGTGTCAAGTAGAAAATGATCTAAATCAATATTGGCCCCTCGATAGGTGCGGACATCCATAAGGTTGGAGAAGTCTCTAGCATCTATGATCACATGATCAGTTTGGTTCTTCGTTAATCTATCAGTCCAAGTCCCCATATATATTTTTTTTGTGTAGAAAACATGTGCTTCCTACGATCATGTTCTTTAAGGCTGCCAAGGTGACTGTTCGGTGTCCATTCGAATTAGTATTATTATGAAGACTATATTTATCAATGTGCGGTAGATACATTTCTTCCCTTCCGATTTTTGCGTTCAGATCACCTATCACTATTTTAATTTCATTTCTGGAAAAATTTGTCATACATGAGTAAATTTTACTAATCGAATATATCATTGACAGTAATATTACTGGACTGTACTAGAACCAGTGCAAAAATTTCAATACAATTTCGCGATGTTTTATAATAATTAATATTGTATGTTTGTTCCACTAGATTGCTGCTCTTTCGCGATTTGTAGCAGCGTATTTGGCACGCGTACACCAACAGTGTTGTTCAATTGAATTGAGGTATAAAGACACAACCTTTTATTGATGAAGGTGATTAAAGAATTATACTAAATTGCCACAATAACTACATATTATAATACCTTTGGGAGTTATTTTGTCCAACATTACTCCTACTCCAAGGTAATCTCCTCCAACTCCAGCCACTTAACGATCTTATTCTATTGTTATGATTGTCAGAAATATTTGGAGTATTATCTTCTGGGTTTGGAGAATAAAAGTTACCAACTCTACCTGGAGTCCAAAACCTGAAGAAAAAAAAAACGCTGTTAAAATAATATGATTAACAAAATTTTTTAGCAAATTTTTACAAGTGGCTCATTATCATGATCATCGTCGTATTCCTAGCATTGTATTTTCGATACAGTTTCAGGACCTATTTATTCACTGTAATGATCATCTCTAAAAAAATGTACTTATTAAATAAAACTCTCTAATTCAGTCTTTCATTTCAATATTTTGTTTTTTATTCATACCCCATGTTTGGATACATAACCCACCCATACAAATCGTTTTTCAATGCCCAGTTACATCATATCCCCGCCCAACTCAATTCAGTTGTTCCATCTCTTCAAAATCCTTAAAAAACCAAACCTCAATAAAGACCATGGTGTATTGCCTCCTCTGGCTACTATAACTGCCTGTACACGTCGGTTCATGCTGTCTATGAGATTACAAATATCAACTTGCTGGATTTTTTGCCTTTCCTCTTCTAGAGCCAAGTTCGTTAATTGAGGCTGGTGCAACTTTGCAACCTCTAATATTTCGACCAAACATGTCCCAAATCTGGTATATTGGGTTCAGATCTGGCGGATACGCTGGCCAGTTCATTTTATTAATACCAACTTCCTCTAAATATTGCGTGACACACATTGCAGAGTGGGATGGCGCATTAATAGAAAATCATTGCCGATATATTGAGAAAAAGGTACTACGTGATTCGCTAAAATTTCCTCAATATTCCGGTGTGTAGTCAACGAATCCTCAGATACCAATTCAGTGTGCGCCTCTCGGGATATTCCTGCCCATACCATCAGCGAATCCCCTCCATGGCTAACACGGGACTGAAAGCGCACTCCACAAATCTCTCTCCAGTTCGACGCGTTAAGCTACGGTTTGTTAGAACAGTGCGCAGCGGACGGAATACACGTACAGCAGAATCTGTTGCAGAGTTGCCAGATTGGGGTATTTCCCCCCATTTTTGGGGTAATTTTAAAGCGTCTGGGGGAATTTTTATGAGCTAAAACGGATGGGGGATTTTTTGGGGAAAAATTGTGGAGGATTTTAGGTGGTCAGTGGTCATTGTTAATTAAATTTGCGAATGTACATAGAACTGGAAGAAAAGGCTATTCTAATAGATACCTTTAAGGCACCCAAAAAATGTACTTATCTAAATATTTTACAAAAATATAGGCCTTTAGTTTTGATATATAGATCATTTTGTCTTAATAGACCACCGTCGTGTGGTCATGTATGTAAGTTTTAGAAATATGTACTTCCATATATCGGCTGTGGATTAAAGTGACGTTAAATACAGAATATAACTAAAACGGAAGGCTAAGAAATTTGGAAATTAATGAGTTAATACAAATGGGATTCACAGCCTCGTCGTTCCAATTCTACTCATAATCAATGACGTCCGATTTTCTAATCATGTTTTTTAAATTTAATTTTAAGTATTGGGACCGTGCAAGTTCGGAACAGCGACACCTGGTGTCGTAAATCAGCAAAATTTACTGCGCTTTCATGTTAGATCGAGGTTACCGGATAACTGTCAAGGACGTAGCCCCAAAAAAAGAATAAGAAAAAAAGTAAGATTGAGGTTATGTCGGTATGTTATTAAAAGGTAAACGTTGTATGTAGTGTAAATACAAATAAATATATTAATAAATTACAGCATTACTGTTAATATAGATGCAATAATAAAAACTGAATTTGAGAAAGTAAATCACCAAATAACTTTTCAACCAAGCACTGAGTCAAAGGGAAAAGCTTTAGTAGTGCCAAATGTCAAAAAAGAATGGAAGAATTGGAAGAATGGATTTTGGATTTTATTTCTTCCCACCGATCCCTGGTCATTACTTCCGATACAATTGGATAGTTTAACTTAGTTTTCCAATACAATCTTGAGTTGGATAGTTTTACCATGGACATTGCTAATAAGGACCCTAAAAATTGTTCCAATTCAGGAATTGACAATAACAGACTTTTATTGGGATTTTCTTGAATGGCATACAAGTTTGACTGCTCAACTATGAGAGTCAGAATATCTTCCGAAAAAAAATTTCTAAAATATTCCACAGGTCGCTTTACAACTCCAGACGGCTCTAGTTGACCTAACCATATAGGAAGTGGTTTAGCAGAATCTTCAGTTGACACATGTCGCCAAAGTGGATAGGTTTTACGACTCTTTAATTTTAATGTTTCTGGTGCAGCTACTGTTTCTCCACTGGCTTCACTTTCTTCAGTACTATCATCAGATTCATCTATAATAAAAAAAAGAGTATAAATGAGTCATTTCAAACTATAATGCAAAGAGGCAAAGCAGTCAATACAAATGACTAGAAAATTATAAAAAGAACTATAAAAATAATTACCCAAATCCTCGAAATTAATATCAGAACCATCTACAGTATCTGTACTACTCTCATCCATTAAGGGAAGACGTTTTTTGCCATAAAACGCTGCACAATCCATAATTATTTTGATCAATCTAAAAAAATCCAAAAGACGAGAGTGACGATTTCGTAACGCTTAAAATTTTCAATAAAAATACAGAAAAATAATTCATTTTAGCACATATTACCTTCGCCAAACGATAATCGTCCTTCTAGAAGTATGTAAAAAAAATCCAACATTCATATGCTGCTTGATTCCAATTTATAACAATAAACACTCCACAGTACACTATAACCTAACTATTCATTAGTGCACTGTCAAACAGAAACATCTCACGTGAATGTGCCGCGCGAACGTAATCAAAACGGGTTTGTTATATTTTCACTGAAATGTAACGATACCGATCCCGTCGGCATAGCCGTCCTCAATACATGGGTTATTTTGTGCATAAGACCAGTGTTTATCAAACGTTACGAAAACGTCACGCTCAGCGTTATAGGGTTAAAATCAAAATTATATATTAAAAGTCGATCAGGTATTTCTTGAGTTGCTACAAAAAAGTTTTAAACAAATTAAATGACGTCTTATAAAATCCATCCACCAGTGGCGGCTCGTGACATCTGCTATAGGGTGTGCTGCATGAACCACGGTCAATATAAAATAATAGAAATAGAATAACATACGAAAACAAAAACAATAAAATTAGCTTTAATACTAATTAATAGTAACTAATAACGACATGCTATAAAAATCTGATTAACTTACATTTATTGCATTTTTCTAAATTGGAAATTAATACGCCGGTCCTTTTTTGTCGCAAACTTTTCGATTACTTTATCGTTAAAGTTCGGTATTGAAGCGATGAACTTTTTTTCTATCGAGAGTGTGGAAAGGGATGTTAATCTGTCTTCGCACATTGAATTTCTTAAAAATGTTTTGATCCGTTTTAAAGTTGAAAAACTACGTTCAGCTTCTGCTGTGGTCATTGGCGTAGTCACCAGAATTTGTATCAACTTTTTGGTTTCTGTTAATGTGTCCTCTAAATTATTAGAAATTATAAATTTTAGTAAAGGCACTGCACCTTTTAATGTTCTACACTCGATATTGGAATACAACACTGACAGTTCTGTTCGCAAACGGTTTTTATCAAAGAAGTTATAAGCTGTACAAGTTAAATCCAATTCATTTTCAGGAAACTTATTATTATATTTTTCGAAATGTTCTGAAGATAAAAGTGTTGCGGCAACTAGATGATTTGTATATGCAAACCGTTCTTTTGCATTGTTTATAATAACATCACAAACTTCTAGACAGGCAATACGGTGATCCTGTTGGCTGTTATTTGGGCGTTTCCTTTTTTGGACACTAGGCGCCGCATTTAAATTTGAAGCTTGATGTATGATAGGGTCTATTTTATTTCGGACGTTGTTAATACTTTGCTCAAAAACATGTATAGCTTTCTGTGCTTCGGTTGGGTCCATGTTCTTTTTTTGAAGATTATTGTACAAAACGTCAACATGTGGCATAATATAATGAAAAACAGTCAGCCAGAAAGTAAAATTTTGATCTTCCAGAATACGTCTAAGTCCTCTTGCTTCCTTGGAAGTAATAGCATTTGACTCTTCTTCTAGTTGCTCCATACACTCAATAATAAAGTCTCTATATTCGTAAACGACATTTACTGTACGAATATTGAAATTCCAGCGTGTAGGGATTGAACGAGGAATATTTTTTCCAACTATTTGATTTAAGACAGCTATTCTTTGAGGTGAATGACTAAAAAATCCAGGTATATCATGTAAATCTCCAAAAAATACGCGTACTTGGGAATTAATAGAACATGCTCTTGACATTATTAGATTCAATTGATGGGCGTAACAGTGCACAAAATGAGCAGTTTCATATTTTCTCTTAATTATTGTTTGCACTCCGCCATGTATCCCACTCATAACAGCTGCTCCGTCATAACTTTGTGCAATGAGCTTATTTTTGTTATTCTTTAATATTGGGTCTAAAACATTCAAAATTGTGTTAGCTAAGGTTTCAGCATCATGTTTTTCTGGAAGCAAAAAAGTCCAAAACCTTTCAACTGGAGCACCGTTTTTTACATAACGAAAAACAATGACCATTTGAAATTTCATAGAAACATCCGTTGTCTCATCAGCTATCACTGCTAAAAATGGGGCTTTATTGATTTCGTTTAAAATCTCCTCAGCGTATACTTCTAGCATGCAATCCAAAATATCATTTTGTATTGTTTTTGAGGTACCTTTGAAAATTGTCGCATTTGTAAGGTGTTCACTAAGTGTTTTATCAAGTTCAGCAGAAAAATTCACTAAACCACGAAAAATTCCAGGGTTATCTGATGTTTCAGATTCATCGTGTCCTCGTAAGGCGAGCTCAAAAGCCCCACAGAATTTTATACAGTCAATTATTTTTGACAAAACATACCTGTTTTTCGTCACCTCTTCATTGTGTTTTTGTATATTTATCCAATAAGCAGAGTCAAGTTGGGCCTGTATATTAAGTTTCCCAAATAATGCAAATCGCATTTCATTGTTCATATGAGTTTGCGTGTTTTCATGCTTCTTTATTTTTTCACTTAAATGCACTAGATCCCGCACTCCTGTCTCGCGCCACAATTTTTCCTCTTTATCTGCGCCGAATAATGCACACGGAAAACAGAAAAAAGCATTTTTTTCGGAACATCCACAAATCCACTGATTTCGTAGATACATGTCTTTATTAAATTTACGCGTATATGTTTTTCCACGGCTTTTACCGGACACTTCAATATTAAGATCAGGCATAGGACGGCCACGTTCTTTTATAATCAACTGTTGTTGATAGTGAAGTTTTTGAAATTTATTTACACCTAATTTAAATTGAAACTCCATTGTTTTAAACACGCTCGAACAAAACAAATTAAACAAAATTGTAACCTAAGAATTTCTAAACACGGCACAGATGCAACGGTCACGAATAACTGTCGTGAATTGCAGCTCGCAAACACATTTCCGAGGCCGTTAATCAGCCGATTGCCGAAGGCTAAGATCGCCGTTTGCCTAATAAATGCATTTTACCGCTGCCAGTGTTTCGGTTGTTATCGACGCGGCTTCACTGGAGCAGCAAATACGTAAAAAGATTGCTTCACTGGAGCACCAAATACGTAAAAAAATTATACGGTTTCACTAGAGGAGTAAATACGTAAAAAAAAATAATATTAATCATCGTTGTTGGTGAATTATTATTAACAGTTTATGTTTAATATGATAATATGGCAGATTTGAAATAAAACTATATTAATTATTCTTTAATAATTAAGATTTGCTATGGTTGTTTGGTAGTTCTGCAGCTCAGCAGCACATAAAGAAAAGCCGCCACTGCCATCCACGTACAAAACCAGCAATGTACCTTCTTGCACATATACCAAACAAACATAAACTAAAATAAAATGTAAAAATCGCACTAATCACTCCTTCAAATTCAATAATATGGGCGGTACTAGAAATGTGTTTATTTGACCACCCACTGCACCGTAATAATATTTTAATTAGTTACCTGCAAAGAAGGAGGTTGTGTTGTCCTATAATAGCACTGTCTATAAATTTTCGGATTGGTTACTGTTATCAGTAAAGTGGAAAACAAGTTACTTTAGCACCAATAATTGTGATACGTGTAATTAGTAGGTAGGTATGATACATAAAGTAGACAGGTTTTATTTACAACACCGATAAAACAAGAATGCTGAAAGTGTTTTTATATAAATACGTAGAATTTAATAAATAATAAGCATTGAGTTTCATTTAAAAATTACTCATTTTAAAATTAAAATCACATTTATCTGTTTTTGATTCCAGTCCGGAAATATTTTTCAAAAACATTAACATATAAAAATTTCGTAATATTCGTATTCTGATAGTGCGGATGAGTCTATAATAGTGAAATTGACGACGAAGATCCAAGTGCCACAGATAAATCAATCCATCAATCAATATTCTTTATTTTATCTGACTTTTACAAGTATTGAAATGCGTCAAATACAAGAATAGTTAAGGCTGTTTTATCGGTACACCAAAACCTAGAAATAGTGTTGCCTTTAAACTGATTGTTTTACTTTTTTAATTTTTTTGAAATATCGGATTTTGCAATTTATCGTATCAATACTATATTTATCTAAGACATATAAATTAAAAATGTGATAATTCTTTTTAAAACATCTACGATAATCATTCAAAAAAGGTATTCCCGACAAAACTAATTTGAATGGAAAATAATGCATTTGTTGTCATTAAACTATCCGTCGGTCGGCGCCACTGTACCCCGATGTACCCGTCGTCGGCTGGCCTAAGCAGTGTAGAAAAGTAAGTGATACGCCCATTTCAAATCGCAGTGTGCTCTGATTGCTAAAACTTGACTTTTTAACATAAAAACATATAAAATATACACAAAAACATACAAATTGTTAAAAAGATGCCTGGGATCGCTTAATACATAAGAGTCCAAGAACCAATTTAAAATTTCACGTTTATCACACCACACTTCACTAACACAAAATACTTCTGGGTAATCGAGGTGTGCTTATTAGTTCTTTTAGACGAACTAGTTCAAGAGAACTATTTCACAAAAATGAACTAGTTCAGTGAACTAGTTCACGAAAGAACTATTTGTAGGACCGAAATCGAAATCTAACCCTAACTGGTTGCCAGATGTCTCGTCACAGCTCGGCACCGGCCGCCCGTTTTCTTCTGTTTTCAGTCAGTGTTTCACTACCATACGGCGTACAAGTAATTCGGATTCGGAACCATTTCTTTCGATTGTATGTTTAGGTTTAAATGTTTTAAATTATTATATGATTAGTTAGTTTTTTTTTATAATAATTTATTTTCTTAATCAATCCCAAAAGATGAGTAACAGACGAAATAGAAGTTTTTTATGGAATCATTTCGAGAAAAACGATAAAACTCAAAAATCTGCAAAATGTAATTACCGTTCATGCGATATTAGTATTGCAAGTGGTTCACTGGACAATTTATCAAGACATTTAAGAATGAAACTTTTTTAAACTACTCAGTCCATCCCATTCACAAAATAATAAATATATGATATCATTCATTATTAACTAGTTCAATTAGTTCAGTTGAAAGAATCGTTCATTTGAACTATTTCGATGATGAACTACACATCCCTACTGGGTAATTTAGAGACACCGTCAATTCCTCCAAATATTGAATTTTGTACCTCAAACTACTAAAATTTAAGTGACGAACCGTCAACTTTTGAGATTGATTTATACTATTTGAAGTAAAGGCATCTTCTTCACTAAAAAACGCCGCACATATGCACCTTGGGGCCATATGCTAGGGTCCATAGCTTTCTCAAAATGTTGGTTATAAATACCTACCCACTTTAAAGGATGAATAATGGTCTGGAAACTTTGACTTCAGAAGGCTACTCATAGCCTTGGGAAAATGGTTCTGTATTAGTTTCAATAAATTTTCATTAGACATTGATGGGTCTAGCCTATAAACATGCAAGTCCGTATATTTAGGAACACCTTTAAATTCTTCTTCTTCATGTACCATGTCCTTTCAGAACGTTGGTTACCATCATAGCTATCTTAATTTTATTTACCGCCACCCTAAATAGCATGCTTGTATCAACACCATACCAATCTCGCAAGTTCTTTAACCATGAGGTTCTTCTTCGATCTGGACTGCGTTTGCCTACTATTGTTCCTTGCATGATATTTTGTAGCAACCTATATTTGGGACCTCTCATTACATGTCCGAAATATTCCAGCTTTCTCTGCTGGATACTTTTTCTGATCTCAGTAGTCTTGCTGAGACCTTTAAATTGTACACCAATTATTTTTATATCTTCCAATTACTTCCAATCGTGACTTTTCTTCTGGACTGTTTCCGAGAAACAGTTTGCCATTGATTTTGTTCCACCTAAGGTATTATATCTTGATTTAAACTAATATACTTGTTACATTTTGCAGCAGTTTCAGCTTCTAAAATAGCACAGTAAGTTTGTTTTATAGTAATTTGAGATTATTGAGAACCTTTGGCAACGCTGTTATGGTTATCTGTATGAATATTTTGTAATTTGTTGCTTTGGGCAAAAATGTTCTTAGATGGCGTAGTTACGTCCGTAAATAGTTATTTTTAATAACTATAATCTACGACGGGAAAATATTTTGGTTTGATATGGAGTAGTAACTATACCGTACTGAGGAGATCTAAAGAGATCGAAATACGTATATGCGGCTTGTTGCTGCTCTGTATCAAATCAAAATATAATACCGTCATTTGTTTTGTTTATTTACTTCATTTGGAGTACCAGAAATCGAATTCACTACGAATATAGGCCATGATGAACGGCAGTTGGAGTGCAATTTTTAGACTCCCTTGTCGATGCATTCATCAAGCTGTTTGCTTCGCAAGTATTAGGGATCACGGCGGCCTATATTTGAATTCGATTTCGCCAGGTAGAAATCGTATGATTTCTCTTTTTGTTTATATACTTTTTTATTGGGATATTAAAAGTTGATTTGTTCTGTTAATACCTTTATATTTGTTGATGCAGACCATTAATAATAAGGTCTTTTTGTTTAGTAATATAATTAAATAGCTTAATATCTACCTTATTGTCAATCGAAACCTGCTGAACGGCATTTAGGAAATCACCGTCCAATTTAAGGTTAGACATATCCTCTAGTTCACAGCAAACAATGTTACTTTTAGTTATGTATTTCACATGATCTAAAGATTTTGCACAATCAGGATGATAAAAACTATTGCATTTTATACAAGTTAAAGCACTTACAACTTTTTTGAACACTAGACACATTTTATAATGCAGCAATTTCAACTCCATATCCATATTACGGATCAAATTTTATTTTACTTAGTTGATTTTTGTTGATGCTCGTACGTTACATAATTTAATAAAAAAAAATGTTAAATTACAGTTTTTTTCCTAAATTTATTTTTTTATGTACTAATAAAGTTAGAATAACCTTCATTGTATTAACCAAAAAGCCGGTAAAAGAAAAAGTTGTCTCCTGAAAAATGTGCGCTTTGTCGCTTAAGATGTTTTGTTAAAAACCCATTGTCTACATTTATTAAGTAACTTACCTCTCGTTAGTAATGTGGTTATCCCACGGATAAACCTGTGGACCAGTTGTAATGGATGGATACCGACATTCCTCACAGCAACTGCAGTATGTAGATGGAGGCATGGGAGGACCCCTTACAGATCCATGGTTGCTGGGCGGTCCAGAATGCTGTTGATAAAACGATCGGCATCGAAGTTCAAGTTGTTCCCAGTACATTTTCTTCTTCTCGTGACTAGAATACATCACAAAATTTACAATAATTAAAAGAAGAGGAGAGAATTGAAACGAACAATAATATAAAAATGTAAATAAAATAAACAAAAAATCAAAGAAGAAAAGGAATTATCGTGGCTATCAAAGAAATGTGCAGAAGTAGAAAGATTAGAAAAAACATGGCAGCTTTAACAGATACAGGAAAATTAAAGAGGCAGCTGACATATTCAAGAAAAAAAGGTATTTTAAACATAATAGATAAAAATAACAAAATAATAATTGAAAGTACAGAGAAAATAAATAGACGGGAAGAATAATATCAAAGAGCTATTTGAAGACGCCGAAAAAATGGAGACAATAGAACTAAGATGACAAAATTTACCTGCGATTACCAAAGAGGGAATTAAAACTAAAACCTATAAATATCGATAAAGCCATGGGACCAGATTAATTTTTTTTAGTCCATAATCATCACTTCGATAAAGATTATTACAATTACAATCTGGTCATAAATGACCAATGAGCAATTTTAGTTTAACCTAAAGTACTACTGTTCCTTAAATTTAAGAGATTACTCCATAGCGTCTCTTATCTTAACTAATAAGATAGTGCACTACTCTAACATGCACACCTGCACAAGCACTATGCTCTGCTTTTTACTATCACCTATGACTTAAACTAGTTCAAAAGGCTTTGTCCTCTTCAATCTTCTAGTTTGCCCAGTAGTATCGAGGAGCTGGATTGCTTTAATATTCTCGTGCCTATGAAGTTGTTGCTCGTGGCTTCCTGCCATCTTCTTGATGATTGTGTCCACAGTTTCCATTCCTAGGTCTTTATGGAGGTCACTGTTTGTCACATACCAAGGAGCAACTACAATATTTTGCAGTATTTTATTCTGGAATCTACGTATTATTGTTATATTACTTGATAATATAACAATCTAATACACCCCCATGGTGGGCATCCATAAGTCCATACAGGTCTCAATATTTGTTTATAACGTAATAACTTATTTTTTTGTACCTTATATTTGATTCTTTATTTTTTTTTCTTTATGTGAGCCTTTCAGCTGAGCTTTGCATCTAATGTTATACCCAAATACTTAGCATATGATACTTGTATATTATTTATTATAACTGGTATATATTGTATTTTTTTGTTGGTGAAATTAACATGGACAGATTTCATTCAGCCTGATTCTCCAGTTTTGTGTCCATTTATGGAATTTGTTAACTGCTATTTGGACCTAGTTGGCCGCTTCTTCACCAGTCGTTCCTACTGCTTGGATAGCTGTACCATCAGCAAAGGTGGCAACTTAGCAACTTAAGAAGGTAAGACAAGAACACAAGGTGAATAGAAAACACAAAAAAATCTTCCACTCAGAAAACGAAGATGGCCTATAGTGTATGGTACAATCATTCAAAACTCTTGTTGAGACATAAACTAAATTAAATTAATTATCATTGGCAGTGCAGAGAGAAATATGTTTAAAAATATTTAGAAAGCAAGCCATCCACCAAAAAATATATTTGTTTACTCACCTTAAAAGCTGGTAGACTAGCATACAGGAAAAAATACAAACTAATATTCCACTAACGGATAATCCAAACATGGCTCTAAGGCATGAGTACAGTGCACCATGGATGACTTCACAATCAGGAGTTGAATCAAAAACATATCTCATTCCTGAAACAAAAATAAAGTTGTTAAGGTATACATGGTGGGTACAAAGTCTACCAATACTAGGCCTACTATCAAAGAAAATTACAAGTGTACTTGTGGAGGGACAGACAGCTTATTGGGAAACTGAAGTGATGAAAAAATAAAGGATATTGTAACTATTGTTAGTTTGTTTTGTAGTGGACAAACTGAATTTTAGAAAATTAGTGAATGAATATTTTTTTCATACTATGTACTTTTAATACTTTTTTTTAATATTTGTTTTTTTCTAATTTATATCAGCCCGAGTGACTGAAGAAGTGGGGACACCGAAATAACAGTTAAATCGCTCTATTGATACCAATTTAAATGCGAAAAGTTTGACTAATTTGTGCTCCAACGCCATATTTGAATTGGTGTAACGTTTGTTGATGACGATTTTCTTCCTGAAATAGCTGCCACTTACATGTTTGACATATCAGTCAGCTAATCTCGTATTATGGTCAATGCCGATAACAAACATCCAAGACAACACACAAAACGTATTGGACTAAATGAACCTTTAGAACTTCTGGTTCTGAAATTCCAAAGTTGTTTTTATTAATTTCTACCGAAAATAGTTAAGTTAAATCAAAATATTAAACATTTTACTCACCCTCATCAGCAACCGCGTGAGCTTCTAACAATACAGAATAACAGGTACATGTTCTGGTCTTTTGAGTGTAGACACATTCTCTTAGCGTTTGTAATCTGTTCATGTGGATGACCGTTGTTGTAATTGTCACTAATACGCAGGTTAAGGCACATACCAAGCAACAAAGACCACATACTTTAATCTAAAAAACAAGGAAATGCATCAGTAAAAAGGGTCAGCGCAACAATTCTTGATGTAATAAATAAGAAACAAATATATCATTTAAGAACATAATAATAAAAAAGATATCCTAGACAAAATATATAATCACCCAGGGTGTTTTTTTAATAAATAAGAATTTTACCATTATATACATTATTTTTACTTATTATTATTTACATTATTTACATACATTAATAAGAAAAGTACTTACCAAATAACTATAACGATTTTTTCTTCTGGCTAGACTCATCACACAAATTCCTGTTAACATTAACTGAAAAAGAACAAAATATTTAAGCTACACAAACACAATATACATGTATATATATATATATATATATATATATATATATATATATATAATATATATATATATATTTACGGCATAAAGTGAACTCCGCCCATGTTAAAATTCAGGTTCAAGTGAGCTCCGTGGTCAAGTGGACACCGATATACGGAGCTCACATGACCATTCCATAATATTGGCTCTGTCGATTCGTTAAGATGTATAGTTTCATAATTCTTAATAAAATTTTGGAGCTCATAAGTACCCCTGTATCATAAATGTATTTCGCTTAGTTCACGTGTATATATTATAGGGGTCGTTCAGATCTTTTTCACTGTATATTGGAACCATAGGAATATCGGTTTAAGTAAGCTCTGATAGTTTGGCAACTATGCACTTAGGCCAGCGTTCTTGATATATATATTTTATATATTTTAAACGGTTCATACGGACTCCTTTTCATACGCATTACAATATGTAATCTTCTTCTTCTTCTTGATGTGCCTATCCGTTATGAATGTTGGCGATCATATTGACAATATGTAATAGATATGTATAATACCAAATACCTGTTTTTGGTAGGTACCTGCTATTCTAAAAATAGCTTTATAAATACAAAAGGATTTCATTACCAAGTTGGACGTGTTTTTTCATCTGCGAATATTTCCTAATGTATTTTGTTAACATGAATATGTCTTTATACGTTTTATTTAAGAATACGATTAATAAGATCTTTTAGTTAATCCATTGTTTTACGATATCTTGTATCCAGCTTCTTTATTATTTTATTTCTGGTTTTATCTGTGTAATACATATAATTCTGGATAGGTTATCTTAAAATAAATATTTAAGTGCAAAAATAGATATTTGTATGTAAAAATTGGTAGTAGTGCACAAAAGAGGAAAGAATGCTTAATTTATATAAGAAGAATGTACCAGTTCACCAATATTACATACTTCTAAATGTTTTATCTGCTATTTAGGGGTAATATGTAATCAATAAACGTGGAGTTAGTGTCAAATTTGCAATAATCTTTGGTCAGTTTTTTCTCGATTTTAGTCATAAATTGAGCTGGTATTCGTTGAGTGGATGTTGCGATTCTAGACTTTGTATCTTTTATTCTCTAGCAGTCTAGCTACTTATCTTGGATATTAGGTGAATTGATAGCTACGATATTGTAGAGCTGTGTGATATACGTATGTATGGATGTGTGTGTGTGTGTGTGTGTGTGTGTGTGTGTGTGTGTGTGTGTGTGTGTGTGTGTGTGTGTGTGTGTCTTAATATTCGCTGAATTTGGTTGTCTAATTTATAGCTAAATCTTCGTGTTGTGTTGGTGTCATCCATACTTGCAAGGTATATTCGGTAGCAGAAGCATAGAGTGCAAGCGTCTACGTTTTAAGGATGAAAGGATGCTTCTCATTTTTAGCTGACAAGTTTGCAGAGATTATTTTTCTGGTCCTCAGTTTGCCTTTTAGTTTTAAACAATGTTCTATGAATGACAAAGTGTGATACAAACTATCTTCAAGGTATTTATAGCAAGTCCAGAGTTTAAAAATTTCATGACACTATTGGATGTTTAGATTTTTAAAAGCATCTCTGTTAGGGACATTAAAGCAGGACATCTGACTTTTTCTGAGGTTTGGCTTAAAATTGATTCATAGTCTATTTTTATTGTGTTTAAAGTATGATTTAGATTTTTCTATACTTCAGCAACAAAAGTTTTTGGTTGTGCAACAATATCGATGTATCGTCTACATAATAAAAGTCCTAGTATTTACTGGTATGGGTTGTGTAAATATGATATAGTGTAGGTACCATTACGCTACCCCAAAGGAGACCGTTCTTCTGCGTTTTCCATCTGTTATTTTTACCATTGAATGATACGAAAAATCTTCTGTTGTGTAGGCATACCCGGACAATACAAGCCATTGTTGTATTTTTGATCCAAATTTTAGAATTATTTTTGTGCTCAGATCTTTAGTCAGAAGCCGTAATATTGTTCATTATATACGTAGATAGCAGATCCAAGCTCAACACCGTTGAAAGATTCCCTTAGCTGACTGGTTTTGTCCCCTCTCATTTTAAGTTTTCTTTTCTTGTTTGCTTATGTTTGGCCCTCAATGTGTTTCCTGCACTAGAAATACGTCACATTTGTGTTAACCGCATATGTCTGATAAAGTTAAGTAAAATAAAGTACCTATCATTATCTCTGGATATTCCCTTCTCTAATGTTTATAGAAATAATTAGGATAGTTGTTGTTGTTGAAATAATTGTCTAAGGAAGCGATAATAGTTCAGGAAATGAATCTCGAAAAAAGTTAAAACCTAGCAATTTTTTCGTCCTGCATGTATCCAGTTGAAATTTTAACAGAAGGTAGGTGATAGCCCAAGGATCAAAATCTATATCGAACCGAAGTGCGCTGAAGGGTTTTAGTGGTGAAAAATACCCCTAATTGTCAAAAATTATAAAATAACATAATAAACCTGAATATGGGTAAAATTTGGTTTGAATTAATTAAATAATGATAGTTTCCTGCTTTTGAATAAAGTTCCATCATATTTCAACCCTTAAAAAGCGACCCTTATTAGAGATTAATATAAAAAAAATTAGTAATGCGAAGAAAATGATTTCACCTTGGAACGATTTGCATAAAAATTTGGAATTAAGCTCAACTCACCCTTAGCTTTATAGTTTATGTCATGCCGATGAACCCTGATTGTTCTTAGGAGTGAAAACTACCCCTAATTTTCAAAAATTGAAAAATAATAGTACAAATCTTAAGATAAGTGAAATTTGGTTTGGATTAGTTAAATAGTGATTTTGTTATACTTTAAAATACAAATTCATACATTTTCAACCCTTAAAAATCAATTATTATGAGTGCTATAGGTGAAAACAATTTTTTGCCAAAATTTTGCAACTTTTCAACGTTTGAAAATCACCCTTTACAACATTGCAGTTTTTATAAACTAATTTATAAGATATTAATTGAAAAAAGTAGAATTAAATTTAAAAAAATGTAATAAACAGAAAAAGGCACCATATATTCTTATACATTTACATAAATAGTTGAAAATATTTACATTTACAGGTAAAACAATTATAATATTAATTTTATTCGTCATTAATTACATCTTCATCGTGATTTATGTCATCCTCATCATCTTCAATTATTGGTGGACTATTATTGCACCCTTCACCTGAGCACCCAGAACAAGTAGAGTTACAGTATAAACCAACTTTTCTGCACCCACATGAAACGCCGCATCCTTTTTTGCATTGGCAAAAAATAATTTTCAAACGTTCATCGGGTGCAGGTTTTTTGTACATGCATACGGGTAATAACAAACCATCTTTGGAATACCATCCCCAATCTGTTGCTCTGATATTTTCATTGCCAAGCCATAGACATATGAGCAGATGTTTTATTCTATGGTATGGGATTTCAAAATAAGAACGCTTAAAATTTCGAATGTATAACGCCCTACTAGCTAATATACCGGTTTTGTAGATTATTATGCTTCGAAATGTACTGTACTATACAAATGGAATTTTCCGGAAAAAAATTAACTGGTTTTTTTAACGTATTTCCTTTAATTTTTAACGATAGAGTGTTTCTTCAAAAACGATTTTGTAAAGGTTTTTAAGAGCTACAAGGATCTGTGAATTAAATCTTTTTGGAACCCTTGGTTTTTAAATGGGATGAGTTTAAAGGGCTCGAAACAGATGGTGCTTGATCGTAAATCGATGCTTTATACGGCTATATCTCGCCAAATATTCATTGTACAAACAAATCTAAATAAAGGATAATTTTAGTCATTAAAAAAGCTACAATTTGGTAATTTTTATTTTTTTCATATATTCAGTATTTTCGGGCATATTATAAAACGGGTAAAAAATATGAAATTGTAAATCGTTTTCTCGCTTTAAGCTGTACTTTTTCTAAAACTTAGCATTTTAAATGGGTCAAACTTCTTGGACGTATTAACAATACATGTACAAAGGGAATTGCAGAAGGGTAAAGATCGATTTTAACATTATTTTCATAATAACTCACTCAATTTTTGAGCTAGAGTCTTTTTTATGATAGGTCTATTTATGCTCTTTAAAAAAGGTTTGTGAGTTTTCTTCCAAAAATGCATGATTTTCCCGATATTTGACTTTGAATCTTTCAAATTTGGCATTTGAAGAAAACCGCTAAACATTGATAGGCCGTATTTCGGTTCCCATTATATCGCAAAAACATTTAAAAAATTAATTGTATTTGTATTTTCGAGTTATTCGCGAAAAATCGATTAAAAACGTCGATTTTTTCGTCTAAAAGTTGTTACTTTCAATCGCGAATAACTTGAAAAATATCATTTTATAAAAAAAATGTATAGCACATTTTTTGTTTAGAATCACTTTTTTAATCGAAACCTGTAGTTAAAACGTAAAAAAAATTTTCTCCCCGGAGATGGGGTGGCAACCACCCCTAGGCTTTGGCGAACTTTGGTTTAGAATATAATTATTTGACAATCTTTTGTTGGCCAACCACCTACAGCAGAATTGAGCCGAAATACATTATATCCCTATGTTCCGAATCTATTTCGTTCAATCTGTAGAGTCTCTTTGTGAAAAATAAATGAGTTTGTAATATCGGTCACAACTCATATATGGATAATAAGGAAATAAACGGTTAAAATAGGTGTACAAAATTTTAACTACATATATCGGCGCCATTGTTCAGGAGTTGGGTTTATCTCAGAGATCAAAGGTTACGTTACATGCATATTCCAGGTTCTATTTACGTATTTTCATTCCTAAAATAGTATATTTATAATAAAGCCCTGAAGCTACCTTTAGATTCTATGAAAAGTAGAATCTATGGAAATTAGCAAATTAAAAAATAAAGACATAATTCTGAATGGCCAACTTGAGACAAACAATTCTCCCGTCCTTAACTTATTCAGTTACAAACAATAACGTGTAAACGCATACATCTTT